CTTGCACCACCTACATAGCCACCACTTGCTCTTCCAGCAGCATAACTTCCAACCGCACCACCACCATGTTCACCACCTCCTCTGACTGCACCACCATGTCTGCTGCCTCCTCCGACTACACCACCGTGTTCGCCGCCTCCAATGGCACCAGCACCATGTTTGCCATCGGCGCCACCACCATGTTTGTCACCTCCAATGGTACCAGCACCATGTTTTCCACTACCACCATGTCCGCCTCCTCCTCTAGCACCACCACCATGTCCGCCGCCTCTTCCATAGCCTTCGCCATGTTTGCCACCAGCACCATGGCCACCGCCTTCACCACCACCTTGTCCTCCATATACACCTCTATGAGCTCCTTCATAGCTGCTGCCACCATTGGAACCTCCTCCTCCCCCTGCACCACCTGCATAGCCACCACTAGCTTCACCTCTAACTCCTCCACCACTTGCTCCTCCAGCAGCATAACCTCCTTCGGCATTACCACCATGTCCGCCACCTCCTCCATAGCCTTGGCCATGTTTTCCACCAGCACCATGTTTGCCATCAGCACCAGCACCTTGTTTGCCACCTCCAATGACACCAGCACCATGTTTGGCATCAGCACCAGCACCATGTTTACCATAGGCACTAGCACCATGTTTGCCACCTCCAATGGAACCAGCACCATGTTTGCCACCAGCACCATGTTTGCCATCAGCACCACTACCAGCATCATGTCCGCTGCCTCCTCCTGTACCACCTGTATAACTACCACTAGCTCCACCTCCAGCTTCTCCACCACTTGCTCCTCCAGTAGTATAACTTCCTTCGGCACCATCACCATGTTCGTGGCCTCCTCTATAGCCTTCGCCATGTTTTTCACTAGTACCATGTTTGCCATCGGCACCACCATTATGTTTGCTGCCTCCAATAGCACTAGTACTATGTTTGCCACCAGCACCATGTTTTCCACTAGCATCATGTTTGGCATTGGCACTATCACCATGTTCGTTACCTCCAATGGCACTAGCACCATGTTTTCCACCAACACCATGTTTGCTGTCTCCTCCGACACCACCATCTTCACCGCCTCCTATTACACCACTTGCATAGCCACCATTAGCTCCACCTCCAGCTCCTCTACCACTTGTTCTTCCAGTAGCTCCACCACTTGCTCCTCCAGTAGTATAACCTCCTCCGGCACCACCACCGTGTCCACCGCCTCCTCCGTAACTTTCATTATGTTTTCCACTGGCACCACCACCTTGTTTATCACCTTTAATGGCACCAGCATCATGTTTGCCACCAACACTATGTTCGCTGCCTCCTCCAGCACCACCTTCTCCTACACCACCTGTATAGCCACCACTAGCTCCACTTCCAGCTCTTCCACCACTTGCTGCTCCAGCAGCATAGCCTCCTTCGGCACCAGCACCATGTCCGCCGCCTCCTCCGGCACCAACACCATGTCCGCCGCCTCCTTTATAACCTTTGTCATGTTTGCCACCAACACCATGACTGCCATCGGCACCACTACCTTCTTCACCTCTGTAACCACTGCCATGCTTTCCAGCATATCCAGAGCCACCGCCACTGCCAGTACCCCGACTATCGCCGCTCGCTCCATATCCAGCGCCCCCACCACCATCAGCACCACCATTACCGCCAACGCCACCACCAATACCTCCATAAGCAACACTGCTGCCACCACCACCATGTCCACCAACACCTCCATAGGCAACGCCACCGCCTTTTCCACCACCACTACCACCTCCATAGCTAGGAGCACCATGTTCTCCTATCGCTCCATAATCCCCACCACTTCCTGCACCTCCTACGCCACCATATCCCCAAACACCACCATAACTTGCAGCACCACCAAATCTATACTCCGATCCACCACCACCGACGACATGGCCTGCACCATAGCTGACAGCAGGAGCATGGGCAGGCTCTCTATAATGTAGGATTGTTCTGGCTGAACATATCCCTATACCTAATAACATAAAGAAGACAAAACTATGAGTGTTTTGAGTAGTCATTGAAATAATGTAGTTGAATCCACAACAATGAAGTAGAATGCAAGATAGGTGAAGGTATATATAGGAGCAGGAAAGGGTGGTTGAAGCACATACAGAAGAGAATTTGAGGTGTTTCAAAAAAAGTGGCTAAATGCTAGAACAAATCATATATAGAAATAGAGGAGAGCTTGTGTTTGGTAGTCTTGCTGCTACGTGTTGGTTTCAGGCTATTTTTAGGGTTCTTTCAAATTATTAGTGGGTACGAATTTAGGTGAAATAATTAATAGATAATAAGAAGCTGCATGCTAATTTAATTTTTAAATAATTACCGTCATCTATAATCCGAATCATTGACTTAATTAGCATTATATGTATATATGTGGAGTGGGTTAAATTAAGTATAATCTTAATTAGCAGTTGATTAATTATTATGTATAGTCATGTTTAAGAATGAGAGTGCCATAATGCCAACTTCACAAGTGCTTGTTATGATCGTTTCTCCTCCTCTCCTCACATATATTGGGCTTTTGGTTTACAAAATTCTTTAGATGTAACGTTCAATTTTAGCAATCCAAAGAATGACACAAAAAAAAAAAAAAAACTCAACAGCTTGCATTCTATTGTTGTGGGCACTATCAGGCAACATAGTAGGAGTGGACTATGCATTCTAGGTTTGACGTTGAGCCTAGTGCCTGTTGTGGTTCCTTTAATTCGTTCACCAAATAATGTGTCGGTGTATGTCAACTATTTACTCGTTTGTTTAGTGACAATTATTTACCTTATTATTATGTATCCAAGAGTGTTGCTATTTCCACCCACCTATCTTATTTTCCCACCCACCTTATTTTCAACATTTTAAAGACAAATTTACCTATTTGTAAAATGACTTCTAAGGACAAAAACCTCAACCCATGACAAACTTTCTCCATCGACGACCATGGAGGGATATACCCAGATGTAGTGTCGACTCCCAATGCAACAACACCAACGCCTACTGCGTAGGTGACAGTGATCCTTAGAAAGGCTTGAAACATCTTTCTGTCACTTAGTAGGTGCCTGCCCAATCCAATCTAAGAAGTAAAATACCTACCTACACCCCCACACACCACCAAAGAAAAATGAATAAAGAAGTAAATGAATCGGGTAAGTTAATTCACACCATATACACTGAACAAAAGAGGAAACATACAATACAATTCGTATTATTGATAACAGTAAATTGAATGTGCATTGAAAAGCAAACCTGCATAAAGAAGAAGAGGCCCATCGCAACCATATGCTCGCCAGACTGCACATGCTGAAATTCGATAAAGCGAAGTTGCAGAGCGAGCAACATTCTGAAAATGTAAATGCAATTGTAGGCGACATACAACCTCATGGAATCGCGTTCGGTGATCAAAAGCACCAAAACGTAAAGCAAAATCAAGCTAATTATAAAGACAACCTCCCCAACCAGAGACCATTCCAGCATGGGTTATGGGTTAATAATCTGATTTGATCGCTTGATTTTTGCAGTTTTTTTTTTGTCTGTCTCGGAGATCTTAAAGTATTTAATTGATTCTTGTTAAACCTATGACTTTCATTGATTCTTGTTAAACCCACAAGTGACCCACGTCGGTGGCAGGAGGAGGATGGGGGTGGTGGGTCGTCGATGAGGGAAGTTTGTGCTGGGTTTGGGTTGGGTTTTTTTCTTATTTATAAAAATTATTTTAAAGTTTCAAGTTTTTTTGCTTGAATTAATAATTAAAGGGAATTTTAGGAATAATGGTGGGTGAAAATATAGGATTGTGTTTTTTCAAATCTATATAGTGAGTGAGAAAATAAGATGGGTGGGAAAATAGGACAGGTGGGTGGCAATAGCAGCACTCGTATCTAAATATTACATGGCCACTTGGTGAAAATAAAAAATAAAAAATTTCTTAGCACAGTAATCATATGTATTTGTCCGTGTGTGTCATGCCGTAAAATACAAATATAACACATCCCATGATCAAATTGATAAACTGAATAGTAAAAACCATTATTAGTAAAGTTTAGGAATATTTTAGAACCTTTATTTTGGGTTTTGAGTTTACTATTAAAAAACTTTGTGGAATTGTAATCGAATATACAACCATGACTTTTACTTGTAAACTTCAATGGTGCCATTATCTTCTACGTGATATCTTGGTATAAGTACTGCTATTTCCACCAAGGATTAAAATATCGGCCGTGCAGATAATATCGGGCCTCCAATTTACAGATATTTCGAGGGATATATCGTTATCGTTTTAGGTATCGGAAAAAAATCAACAAAAAGGACAGATATAGGCATTAATACACATAATTTTGGTGTAAAACTTTCATAGATGTTATGTACATTATCAATGAATGTATTGAACAAATAAAACTCAAAATTTACTAATAATAAGATATACATTGATGAAATATAAGTGGTATGTAATGCGCATTAATGAAAAGTTTGAAAATAAAATTTTGATTATAATGAATAAACCATGCATAAATCCATAGTTTGTTTAAACATTGAATTAAAATTTAGATAAGTGTCCACCTACATAAATGAAGAGCTTCTATGAGGTTCAAACAATGAGGAACAACCATCCAGATTCATACAATAGTCATACCAAGTCATGTAAACCGAGCAGTTTGTAAGCCATGTTAGAACATGGTGCACATAAGTCTCTCTCGAGCTCCTTACTATCATCCCATATATATGATAGTTAGGATTAACCCAATTAGTAGGTTCATAATCTGTTTCATCATCTTGAGCTCGATAACTAGTTCCACTATAATCAGACATGACATAACCATAGCCATAATAAGATTCATTTGAGTTAGTAGTAGGTCTAGTTCCTATGCTCATAGATCCAAAATTGATCGCCATATCCTCTTCAGATGGATTGGAGGTATGTGGGCAGTGGATTGTGCATAGATTCTTCATGTTAATAAATTATAAGATTCTGGGCAAGGATTAGCAATTTTTGGGTTCAATTTGATTCATTTGCCTTCAAAACATTTGAATTTTTTTGGGTTCTATTATGGGTATCAGAAAATATCGGGGATAACGGCAAAATATCGGGAATATCGCACTTATCGGGGGATATATCGTCGATACAAGGGAAGATATGACCTTATCCCCCAGTATCGGTGTCAATAGTTGAAAATACCGATATATCGACAGATATATCGGTGTATCGGCCGCTATTTCAATCCTTGATTTCCACCCATCTGTCCTATTTCCTCATCCACTTTATCTTTCCACGCACCGTGTAATTTTGACAAAACACAATCATATCTTTCCATCCTCTATTTTTTTTAAATACCCTTTAATTATTATCAAGCACATACCAATTTAATTTTAAGCAAAAATGGAACAACAAACACAATGGCATTTTTATGACAAACCTCTCGACCAAATTGCCTTATGTGCATATACAAGTTCCAGTCATCATCACAATCGATGAAGCATGGAATATTTTGTGAACCAGAAGCTTTGAATACCAATTTAATGCAATTTAAAATAGGAAAAATTACTATTATACTCAATATAGGGGCTCAAATTATTATTATTTTTATATAAAAAACCTATATGAAATAGACTTTAGAAACACACCCAAAACCCATTTACAACATAACAAAGAGGCTTTTAACTTCATATAAAATACAAAACTGTCATCATTTCTTAAAACAAGCCCAACCCAAAACTCTTATAAAAAAACTCAAAACACTCAATAGAGCATCAAAGTAATTTAATAATCAAAATTAAATTTAATAGGACCAACTGTCAGTTTTTTGGTTTGTTTATAGAAATTAAATGGTATAGGGTTTATCTATATCATTGCTAAGAATGGATATATGACTAAATATCTCTTTAAAATATTAATTGAATACCAATTTATTAAAATTTAATTTAAAAAAAGGAACTAACGGTGAATGGGAATGAAGTCTTCGAGTGTGAAAGTGAAAGCGAGAGAAGACTTCGAGTTGATTCTTATGTGAATCTAATGGCTGCAACTCCCTGCTCTCCCAATTCAAAACGTCGTTGTTTGGTTTCTGACGCAAAACCAGAAGCTGCAACTCCTTGCACTCCGAGTTCAAAACGTTATAATCACTTATAATATGCAACTCCATTCTCTCTGAGCTCGAAATGCTGCCGTTTGAGCTCACGGAGCCAGCGATGATTAATATGAGTAGGAGGAGGACTGCCCAAATTAAATTCTAATGCTTCATCTGTGAGATTCAACCCAAAAGAAAGAGAAAACGATGATGATGTGATAAAAAATGAGTTGAGGAGAAAAGTTTTTTTTTTTTTGGTTTCAAATGGCTGCGTTAAGGTTTTTTCATAAGTCCTTAGAAGTTATTTTACAAAATGATAAATTTGTCTTTAAAATTTTGAAGATAAGGTGGGTGGGAAAATAGGACATGTAAGTAGAAATAGTAGCACTCCTTGGTATAATCCACCAAGTTTTCAGCAAACTTTACTGTGACAATAAAACTACACTTCGTATTTCTACCAACTTTTTTTTTCTTTTTCTTTTAGTTTTTCTAAAGTCAAATTTACTTTTTATGTTTGTTTTCAACCAAAAAAAAAAAAAGTTTATATAGATCCAAATTCTAATTGAGAAGTTGGTTTTAATTCGAGAAGTTGGTGACTTTGATACAAGTCCGTTGACTTTTGTGCCACATAGGTTTACATTCTTTTTTAAATTTTTTTGATGTAATCTTTTTGTCTTTATTTTTTAAAATAATTTTTTATTCCAATGTTGCCCCTTATGCCTTGAATCGGGTAACTATAATTTATGTGATAATTACGGGAAAGAATTGTTTATGACCATAATTAATAATAAATTAAGTGCTTATGACCATAATGATTTTGGTATATTAATTACGCTGCCTTTCTTTTCTTCTTCTTTTAATTGTATCTATGAATTCTATTAATTGCATCTATGATTTTGTATATTAATGTTGTCTTTGTTTTTTCTTCTTTTAACCCAAAAAAAATCGTTGGCTTTCTTTCTTATTGTTTACGACCTTTGTATTTGGTAAATTGAAGAAACAAAAAAAAAAAAAAAGATATATTGAAAATAATAAAATACCTATATGTCAAGTAGATTATATATTATCTCATACTTTCCCTAATAATCAGGTACAATCCTATATTTATCTAGTAAGTTATGTACATAATCTCACATTTACCTAGTAATTGGATACATAATCTTATATTACCTAAAAACTAGGTACATTAGAAAATTCTACCTATATATATATATATATACATATATTAAAATAAAGCACATTAGCTCATAGTACCTATATATTAGTGTTTGGGCCAAAATTCTGCACACCCAGCTCAACATTAAAAGCCCAGAGAAACAAAACGAACTAAAGGGCCCAAGCAGTCTGGACTTTGCGATTAGAAAAGTCAAGGGTGTCACATCCCCGGCTCCACTGTAGCACGATATTGTCCACTTTGGGCCCCCTTTCCCTTACGGTTTTGTTTTTGGGAACTCACGAGCAACTTCCCAATGGGTCACCCATCTTGGGATTGCTCTAGCCCCAACTCACTTAACTTCGGAGTTCCCATGACTCCGAAGCCAGTGAGCTCCCAAAAGGCCTCGTGCTAGATGAAGGCGGACATGTACATATAAAGCACATCACCCCATCTCCGTTGGTCGATGTGGGATGTTACAATCCACCGCCCTTAGGGGCCCGACGTTCTCGTCGGCACACTCGCATCACACAGCAGAGTGGCTCTGATACCAAATTGTCACATCCCAGAATCGGCTCCGCCGTAGCATGATATTGTCCGCTTTGGGCCCCCCTATCTGCCCTCGCGGTTTTATTTTTGGGAACTCATGAGAAACTTCCTAGTGGGTCATCCATCCTGAGATTGCTCTAGCCCCAACTCGCTTAACTTCGGAGTTCCCATGACTCCGAAGCCAGTGAGCTCCCAAAAGGCCTCGTGCTAGATGGAGGTGGGCATATACATATAAAGCACATCACCCTTTTTCCGTTGGTCGATGTGGGATTTTACAAAGGGCCCAAAATCCAAAAAAAGGAAAGCCCAACCCAAGATCTGTCAAAAAACTTAGGCTTCGAAAACTCGACCTGGACTTGGCTTGATTAAAAGAGAAGAAAAACCCAAAATTGGAGACAAACCCACGTGATCTTCTGACTTTGAAAAGTCAGCAATTTCAATAAAGAGTTGACAAGGGCAGGTATAAAGGAAGGACATCTCTGAAAATCTCTGCAACTGGAAAATCAAATCGCTCTTATAAATATTCAAAGATATTCTCTGCTCCAGAAAAGACACCATTTTCAAAAGATAAGCAGACTACGTTTTTTAGAGATAGGTAGAAAGCAGAGACTTGTTCAAAACTGGAAAATCAAACTAACCGTCACAGTTTGAGCTCTTACAAAAAGCAGTCGAATTGGAAGAAGGGTTAGGTTTCCTTTCAAAATTACCGGGAAGTGATTACCTTAGAACTGACTACTGAGGACTTATCTGCCAGAATTGATAAGACCCTTTTTTCTTTGCATTTAAAAATGAAAGATCTTTTGATAAAACTTTGCCGCCCATTATAAAAGATTAGAAGCGCCCTCCAAATCATTTCTTATAAATATAAGAGAGGGTGAACAGAGCAAAACACAATAATAAAAAATCAATCAAAGACAAAAACTCAAAATGATCACTTGATCTCAAAGAACTTTCAAACAAACTGAAGCAACCAAAAGCTCATTGAGCCAACAAGAAAGAAGCCAGCTACAAATCAAAACTTCCAGTTTCAAACTTAGAGAAATAAATCATCCAAAACGAGATTTCTCTCATTACAAATTTGGTTAAGCAAAAGCCAAATCAAGTAGAGCTCAGGTTTTACAAATATGAAAACCTCAACAAATTTATGCAGAGCCTTGATCAAGCAGAACAGGTACCACAGTGCAGTTCCAGCTCAGTAATCCTCAAGTCCAGCCACTTCTGCCCGTTCAAGAAGCCTTCTAAGGCTTGAGATAGATTAAAGCTCTGCCAAACTCGAACATTGGCATCATTTTACAGCTGAAACTCAACAATTGAAGTTGCTGACAGTCCAGTCCAGCACAGACATACCCAATCCAGCCCGGGTCAGAAGCTTCTATCCAGACAGGAATAAAAGTCCAGCCTTTTTTTTTGCCTTTCTAGAGTTGGTTTTTCCCTCTTGAGTTTTGTAAAAGGCACTTCTACCTAAAACAGTTTACTATCTTATCATTTATTCTGACTAGTTCTGCCAGTTTTGTACTGTGAAAAATTGTGAAGTCCTCACCAGTCTGAGGCAAGAAAAGAACTTACTTACAAATTCACAATCGCTTGTTTAAAAACTAGTAACTTTGGGCGCAAGTTATCTATTTTTAAGAAGTCTGCTAGAATTTTTATTACTAGCAGTGACACGCTCGCACACTAAAAAAAGTTGACTTATTGACCAGTCAATGATTTTCAAGGCAATGGGGAACTTTACTCTTCCATCACAGGAGCAAATATAAACCGGGTGAACAATTAGGTACATAAAAATGTCATCAATTTGTTTATATTGTTTAAATATTTGGGTGTTTACCTGATGCATAAGTATATAATTTCATGTGGATGCTTGCCTCATCGATTAGTATAATATGTGAGTCTTTGCTTTTATTGATTAAATTGTATTTTATACATATATTAGGTAAATGTTCTCAAGGAAAGAATTCAAATTTTAAATTATGAAATTCAATTACAATGAAAGAATGCATTAAATTTGGACTTTCAATGTGTTTCCTTATTTACCTCAAATGATAAAATCGAGTACATAACAAAAAAAAGTAATTAAAATCAAAGGACATGCTTATAAACCCCCCCCCCCAAAAAAAAAAAAAAAAGGACCACCCAAGAGGGAAAACAAGAAACAAGTCACAGTAAGGCCAAAACAAAGCAAAGTCAAGGAGCCATGCAGGCCGGCCAAACAAATAAATAAAGAAACATCAATCTACATCAGGCTGTCTCCACTCCAAAAAAAGGTTTAGAAGGAGAGAAGGCTTGGGATTTGCGGCTATCAACTTGCATTTGATAGTTTAATTGGAGAGGGTTGCTGTCAACCCTAAAAACACTATCATTTCTTTTTCTCTCCACGAAGAACAGAGAGACACAGCAAAAGGCCAATTTTGTGGGTGACAGTAGAAAGATAATTGTTAGGCTCACTGACTCAATTCAAAGTCATTACTAGCATTAGCACGGATCACCTCTCTCAACCCACAAAATCCACAAGAAAATAATGGTAAATACTGAACTGTTATGCTTTGGTATTATGATTTTTTTTTAAAAAAAAAAATTTCAATGGTTTACCAAGCTTTCTTTTCTTTCTTTTTTCCTATCTTTTTTTTTTGTTTATTTTTGTTTTCTCTTTTTGGTTGCACTTCTAGAATTCAACCAATCAATTATTTATGTTTACTAGCTATTTGAGAAACAACAGTCATTGTTATTCAAATGCCCGCAGCACAATGGTACGTAACATTCATAAATATATCATGAAGAACAAGAATCCCTATTAATCATCAACAGATACAATCTTTGGGAGCATAGAATTGGGATTCTTCATATACTCAAAATTATAATAATCCTCTTATACCCACATTTATCTTATTTTTTTTCCTTTTTTAATACTATTAATAATTTAATATAGGTAAGAAGAGGTAAAGCTTTTAGTGACAAACAAGTGCTAAGGGGAAACTCAAGGAACATAACCCCCATGGCCACCGCCCTCACCGGCCCCACCACCTCCTCTGTATGCACCTCCATGTGCTCCTCCATAGCCGCTGCCACCACCAGAACCTCCTCCTCCACCGGCCACTTGCTCCTCCAGCAACATACCCTCCTCCGGCACCCCCACCATGTCCGCCACCTCCTCCATAGCCTCCGCCGTGTTCACCACCAGCCCCATAGCCGCCGCCAGCTCCACCACCTGCTCCACCTCCATAACCACTGCCATGCTCTCCAGCATATCCAGAGCCACCGCCACCACCAGTACCGCCACCTCCACCACCGCCCACTCCATGTTCCCCACCAGCACCATAGCCGGCACCACCTCCTTCACCACCCCCACTTCCATATCCTCCAGCACCCCCTGTACCATAAGCACCACCGCCACCACTACCGCCGCCACCACCACCACCATGTCCACCAGCACCTCCATAGGCAACGCCACCGCCTTCTCCACCACCACTACCACCTCCATAGCCTGCAGCACCATGTTCTCCTACTGCTCCATAACCCCCACCACTTCCTGCACCTCCTCCGCCACCATATCCCCCGGCACCACCATAACCTGCAGCACCACCACCTCCATACCCTGATCCACCACCGCCACCGCTGCCATGGCCTGTGCCATAGCTGACAGCAGGAACATGGACGGGCTCTTCATAATGTAGGAGTGTTCTGGCTGCAGAACATATCCCTATACCCAATAACACAAAGAAGACAAAACTGTGAGTGTTTTGAATAGTCATTGAAGTAATGCAGTTGAATCCACAACAATGGAGTAGAATGCAAGAGAGCTGAAGGGATATATAGGAATGGGAGAAGGTGGACTGAGCACAAGGTGGTTGAAGCACATGCAGAAGAGAATTTGAGGTGTCCCAAAGAAGGCGGTCCAGTAAAAACTGTACACTCACTTACTACCCTAGTGTGCTTTTGCTGTCTCCCACGTATACATTGATATAATATCGTTACGCAATCAAGCCATTTTGTGCGTTATTTTTTATTAAAAAGAAAAAGCAAGCCATATATATTCAAATAATGGATTGCTAATGTTAGCCAAAAAAAGAGGTTGAATGCTAAAACAAATTTATCCATGGGGCATGATGATATGGAATGTAGGACAACTTGTGTTTGGTCGTCACGCTGCTACGTGTTGGTTTCAGGCTATTTTTATTCTTCTTTCAAAGTATTAGTGGATACGGATTTTAAAAGGAATAATTAGTAGATAATGAGAAGCTACATTTTCATTCTTGGCATTTAGATTTGCTTCTCAGTGGTGACCTATACATTGATGGGAAAAAGACAGATCGAGCAGGTTAGAAGAGAAAACATAGAGGAAAAGGGAGCTGAAAGAAAAAACATGGCAAATTGAATCTAAAGCTTTTTCTCTTCTATAACGGAAATCCTAATTTCTGACCAGAAAACACGAATCTATTACTAGTAAGGGAACAATATAAAATGTATGCTTCAATCATATTACCTTGGTAACAATATAAGGTCGTAATCTTTTATGTTTTATTTTTGTTAAAACCAAACTAACTGTAATGCTATTTTGGGTTTAGAGTTAATTAATCGGTTCATCTGTTATATTGTCCTCATTCTGGGCTTGATATATTTTAGTTATACTTTTGATATAGTTGATATTAGAAGATGGGAGATTCGAACATAGGAACTCGGTTGCAGTACAGCTATTATATTTTGTATTTGTGAAAAACTGAAGTGATTGGAATAGTAATTGCACTTAGAGTTGACCATTTAGCCTGTTATATTTTTATATATGGGCTTGATGTACCTTATCTATACTTATTATATAGGATATGGTTATGGACTATAGAGTATGCGACGGGATTTACATTAAAATTGACCTGCACGTATAAATATATAATTGTAGTTAATTGGGAGGTCCCTACTCCCACTGTGACCTATCACTTATTTAAACCTTCCAATTACACTTGATATATATATATATATATATATATATGTATGAGGGATTCTTTAAATAAGCTTATTTGAGGGATACCTTTGTATGACCCATTATGTATTGTATTTCACTAATCTAAACCATCTATTTTGTAGATACTCATTCAAAGATCATCTCTACAAAAAAATCATTTGAATCCGATACCATTTGACCACTTAATTGAATTATTGAAATTTTAGTACTTTCTTGAAGCACTGTATTCATTGATTTTGTAGGACACAATTGGATATCGAAACGGTTTCCAATTTTTCTAATTTTTTGCAAGGATGATCTATGAATGTAGACTTAAAAAAATCAATGGTTTAGATCGTTGAAAAAAAAAAAATCGTACGGGAAACTTAAGGGTATCCCTCAAATAAAATTATTTGAGGGATGCCCTTTAGGGTACCCTACAATTTTTTTCCTAATGATTCAAACCATCTATCTTTTAGGTCTTCATTCATAGATCATCCTTAAAAAAAAAAAAAAATTAGACAAATCGGAAACCGTTTCGACATCCAATTGTGTCTTACAAAATCAATGAACACGGTGCTTCAAGAAAGTACTAAAATTTCAATAACTCAATTGAGTGGTCAAATGATATCGGATTCTAGTGATTTTTTTTTTTTGTAAAGATGATCTTTGAATGAGTATCTACAAAATAGACGGTTTGGATTAGTGAAATACAATCCGGAGTGGGGCCTACAAGGGGTGTCCCTCAAATAAGCTTATTTGAGGGATCTCTTAATGGAAGCTTTCTTCTATAGCTTTGTAGCGAGGTAATCAAATAATTCGATGCCTATGGTTCTATATGCTTATTTAATTAATGATCATAATTATTTTATAAATTACTTACATCTTGCCTTTACATTTGCGCATATGTATTTAGAAAAATAAAGCCAATATACTTGATCCATAAAAACACTCCCCCTATTAACTCATTCTCAATCTCCATCACAATCGCTTCATTGGAAGGACCCCAAAAATAACTTTATTAATAATAAGCATGCATATGTAGGTTAGGGCAAGTTGGTGTGGGCTGTGAGCCCGCCGGATTGCATCCAAGTTCGAGTTTCTCTCTCTATAGATTAGAATAATTTAGAGTAATTTAAACTATCAATTGTATTCAAAAAAATAATGAGGAGAGGTATTTCGGGTCACACTCTACATTGATCTAGTCCATAATCTGAACCATTTATTTAAGCCTCTATGAAACCATTATATCATAAATGTGGAGTGGGTTAAATTAAGTATTATCTTAGCAGTTGATTGGTTATTATGTATATGCATGTTAATCATTCAAGCACTGGGGACCTTGAAATGGCCTCCTAGCTAGTTTTATTCTAGAAGTTCCAAAAGGTGATCAATTGTAGAGAGCTGAAGCTAAAAGCGATGAAAGATTCAGATTTATATGACTGCCATTATGTCAGTGCACAAGCTGGCTAGCCACCACCTTCCCAAGTGCCTGTTATGATTTCGTCCTTCCTCCCTCACATGTCTTCATCGTTTGGTCACCGTTCAACCAAGCAATGAGATTGTTATTACTTTAACATGATGACCATGTACTGTGTACGTGCCATTTTTCGATGCGACGTACGTCCAATCTTAGCATACCATAGAGAGAAACAAAGAAAGCATTCTTTTGGGAAGTTAGAAAACCCTACCAGCACTGATTAGCATACGACTTTCATTGAGGGAAAAGTGAAGAAAAAAAATCTCAACAGCTTGCATTTTATCGTTGTGGGGTTACTGTAGATCAAAAAAATAGTAGGAGACGACTATGCGTTCTAGGTTTTGAGCTGGGGCCACGTTCCCATTCGTTTAATTTTCAGACTATCAATATTTCGTGCAATAAGACTAAGGTCACCAAATCTATTCCCCATATATGTATTTATTTTTAAAACACACACGATAGTGTAAATTATATAGGGAGGAGGATTTCTCACACACACTATCAAGGTGCCATGACCATCAGGGTTCGAACCTTACACCACTGGTCTTCAAATCAAAGCCATTTTTCACTGGACTAGAATCCGTTGATAAAATTAATTAATTTAAAATTTGCTAGATAATGTGAAGTGGATTCAAACATTGCCCTGTTTTTTGGTGAAAAGATTTGGTGTTCCTAACCCTACTCCTATAGATTATTCCATGAAATTTTGTTTGACAATTTTTGTCGGTGTACATTTTGATGTGATTTTAAAGCTAAAGTCTAATGTGCATTAGCTGAGTGCTGGCAGATTAAAACCACCAACAATGATGAAAAATAGTGACCGAATGTTATGGTTTACAATGCATATGGGGATCATTGCCGTCCCATGTTCTTCAGATCGAAGACCTCATTGAGAGAAGGTCCAATTTCTATCCAATTAAAGCTTCAATGACACAAGCTGTGCCGCACATGTTAGTACTAGTAGGTATATAGTGGGCAAACACATGCTATGACGCTAGGGCAACCTTGTCTACCTAAGCCCTCTTACTGTAGATGGGACCAATCCATCTCACTTTGCTTCCCTAGTGGAGAGAGCCTTATATTCTTCACGCTTGTTGCTCTTGTGGTTTGGTTGGCTGGTTGCAACTTTCTTCTGTGTACAACATCATTCTGACGCATCAAAATCTTCTATATATCTTCTATAATTAATTAATATATGAAAAATAATAAGTTTTATTAGGCGCCTATGCTGGGATCCTCCCTCAAGTTAGATTTTTGTACAATAGAGATGGGATTTGAACTTGAGTGTAAAATGGACGAACTCACTGTCCTGATCAATTAACCTAACCCACATATGGTGCTAGACGCCTATGCTGGTTGCAACCTTCTTCAACATCATTCTGATGCATCAAAATCATCTATATATCTTCTATAATTAATTAATATATGAAAATAAATAAGTTTGTTTTATTAGGCTCCTATGCTGGGATCCTCCCTCCTAGTTAGATTTTTGTACAATTGATAGTATAAATCCAAATTGAATATACCCGGATTTTTAAAATCTTTTTAAATACTCTAGAATCCTAATTGAATACGCCCCCTCTCTTAAATTACTCTAAATTAATCTAACTTATAGAGAGTTAGGATTCGAACTTGAGTGCAAAAGGGCGAACTCTCTGCCCTGATCAACTAGACTAACCGACATCTGCTTCTAGGTATTAGTACCCCTAACCAACATCTGCTTATAGGCTCCAAAGGGGTCTAAGCCTAGTGGAAAAGGGCCTTGACTTGCATCATTTGTATGTGTGTGAGAAATCTATCTTCTCTCTAGTTTAGATTATCTCTTGTACTTAAAAAAAAAAAAAAAAAAAACATATGCTTCTAGGCGCCTATGCTGGTTGCAACCTTCTTCCACATCATTCTGACGTATGAAAAATATGTTTTCATTTTATTATTTTTTGAGGAAAAATAATAAGTTTGTTATATTGGGCGCCTATGCTGGGATCCTCCCTCCTAGTTAGCTTCTAGGTAACAGAGTCAGCAGCATTTGAAATCTTCGAAAGAGCCCACATCCTCTGATTGAAAAACGACCTTCCGCAGGCCCAAAATCCGCAATTTCAATTTCAATAGAATCCAAAGAAAAGAGTCCTCTGACATCAAAACTGCGGTTTATGTTCTGCAGTTTGACGTCATTTGTAAGAGCTATTATCTTCAGTTTGGAAGAAAAGATATACATCGGGCAACCACAAAACTGAAAGGCCGTGCCAAAAATCTTTTGTCATAGCATGGAAGAAACCATGAGACTCCAACCAAATCATTTTCCAACAACAATCGTATATGTTGTAGATATATTATATGTATTTTACTATGCGAGTTTGTTTCTTTGTGAGAGATTGTAATTGGAAGAAGACCTTTTTTTTTATTTTTTATTTTTTTAATACGGAAGAAAACCTTTTTTTCTAGGTAGTTTTGATGAGCTCCTCGTGAATTAAGTATTTTTATATAAGATGAATTATGTATTAAGCCTTGGTTAAAAACTATGATTTGATACATTGCACATTTGTGCTTACTGGGATTAGGCCTGAAAACAAATTTGATTATCGAAATTCTCAATTTCGTCATCACACTTGAAGTCATTAGCAATTCAAGTCCAATTGGATGTTGCGTGTGTGCAGGTCATGATCGCCCTTTCACCAGAGCCCAGTCAAAACCCCTCAATAGATCGATATGGTTTAAGTTTGTAGGAGTAAAAAATTAGGGAAGCAAAATTGGGAAATTAGAGAGCTGCAAATTTTTTTTGAAGGAGAAGGTATTCAAGCTCTCCCATAACGAAAAGGACAAGCCAGGCCAGCTCGTTGCTTCTCCATGGTGGGTTTGACCAAAAAAACCAGACCCTTGTGCTTCCATTCTCTCAATGACATCTTTTGGGACGCCATGGTTCACTACCTTAAAGAAGCCATACTCTTCACAGGCTTCCACAATTTGTTCCGATAGCTTTGACCTATTGTAATTGGATTGATCGTATTGGTGAAGGATTGAGAAATTTTTGCAGCCCTAATTTTTTTCTCTCCTACAAACTTAACCCTGTTCGAACTACTGATGGGGTATTGATAGCTGGCCTAGGGCGAAAGGGGATTGGGAAATTAATGGAACAGTAACAATGGTTAAAGGTGGTGAACAGATTTGCATCCTTAAAAAGTCTCCATTTCCTTATCTCTATCTACATTAAATAAAAAAATCAATTATGAGCCACACAAATTCGGCACTCAATTATTGTAGGAAGATGACAATTTCATGTGTATCAACAGTTGTATCCCTACAAACAAAATTGTTTTGTCTTCACAATCAATGGTTTCTTGACATTTCGACTGGCCCTACAAAGAAAGGTCCATAGCTCATCAAGACGAACAAGAAGATCAAAGAAGTCCAACAAATTCAGGAAAATGGAGGCTCAGAGCAGTGGCGAGCAATCAGTCAGGTTTCATTCCTCTCACTACAAGAATAATAAGGGAAGAAGAAGATGCTAAAGTTGTGTTTATGTTGTACTGACAATTCAATGGTTGTTTTAGATGCACTGTGCCACTCAATTCCATTGATCATACTTAAATTAACTGCCTCAAATTTGTGCAGGTCTGTTGCAGCAGCCGGAGGCAACTCTAGAATCAGCAAGGCATTTTGTAGGTGTGGCGAAGGGTGGAAATGTGTCATCACTAGGACCGAAGGACCAGATGCGGGCAAGGCCTTCTTCAACTGCGGTGACAATTGCACCTGTGTTATGTACGTCAATCAGCACACAAATAAACCAGTCTAAGATATTAATAAGCATCACTTTCACCAATTGCTTGTTTGCTGAGTTTCGCTTGTACAAACTACAAAGTGAATTGAGACTAATGCCCAGTTCTTTCTACAGATATGCAGATGGGACGGTGACTAATGACGTTGTGCCGCAGGAGGTAGAAAAAGTTGGTGCAAGCGAAGCATACTGCGAGTGCGGTGAAGGCTGGAAATGTGTCATCTCCAAGATTGAAGGGCCTGATGCTGGCAAGGGCTTCTCTGAATGTTCTAATGGTTGCACCTGTGTGACTGATGCCTGAAGGCTGTTGAGAAAGTGCAGATGTAACTACCAGGTGCTATTGTTGGTAGAAAGCTGGCCCCTAGAGGATCATATGTAACCACAAAAGGTGGCTGTAGTTTGCTTTGGCAACTCATTTAGTATGGTTCTGTAAAATATGGGATGCATGAATTACAGATAAAAATAAAGGGCCGGTAGAAGCTTGCTTCCTCATGTACTAGGATTAGCAATTGCTGCATTATGAAATGCATTTTGTACTCTGCTGTGCGTTTTTAGCCCTTAATGGTATTGGTATTGTTTGTTTTACTCATCCAAAATTAAAAATTGTGTGTTTTATTCTGCTTTGTGCATTTTTAGCCTTTCAGACACAGTTCTTACTCCACGACAACTACTACTACCTGATGCACCAAAGACACTAATCTCTACTAAGGACTGATGAGGCACTGAAGAATAGCAATCATCATCGGTGATGCTAGATTAAAATCTTCTTTTTCTGATGAAACTAAATAAAAATCTATTCAGAGGTATCAAAGATAGATAGCTCCAGCAAAGCAAAATGTACAAAGGGTGCAACTTTAAGAACATAAAACGGAGGAAACATAAGACTCGTACATGGGGGAACAAAGGAGAGAGTGCAATGCATTTAACAAGTTCATTGAGCCTTCTGCACTCTCAAAAGCCACTGTCAAAAGCACTAGAAATTGCGTACAGGAACAAACCTTCCGAGCCTCTCTCCTCCACACCAAATTAGCCCGCAACACTACAAGCAACTCACATACCAATCTTGGCAACACAAAACTAGGTGTCTAGAAAGTTGAAGACTCAAATGAGGTATATCTGGCCTATCTTTCCTTCAATGCGGTAGGCTGGTTATGTCGCTTGGGTGAAAGATAACTTATTTACAGGCAATTGCTTCTGCAGCCTAGAACCCTAATGAAAATGAAGATTGGTGAAAATTCTAACACATTGCCATTGGCTTCAGAACTGCCATATCCTCTATGGAAATTTGATTCACAAAAGTGGAAACCTAGTTTATGAGTGCAATTGGCCTAATGCAAGTTCTGATTATTTGGTTCAGACTAAGATTGGTTGCCTAGCTAGGCCTATTTAGGCAGATTAACAAAATATAATTTGAGTGGTTTTTTGCACTTAAACACACTTGAATTCTCTAATTCAAAAATAATACAAATAAAAATTGAAACCTGAATTGATAAAAAGAAAAAAAGAAAGATAAATGAGCAATTCAACTAACACAGAGCCTCTCTTGCTAAACAATAAGAATTCATAATCAACAAGTTTAAAATTAATCAAAGACTACGTACTTAATGTAACAGAGCAAGAAAACATTGACCTTTCCGAAACTGCCTTTTTCCTCACATTCCGGACACAAAATGCCGGACGTCCTCAAGAATGGCGCGACCCTGGCAAGGCCTATCTTGTCTTTTCACGTACCCTTTGGCCTCCTTCTCCGTGAACTCACTCAAACCCGCCTTCCCATTTCTCTCCCACATCGCAGGCCCAAAGCTTCTGTGCGCGTAATACGCCTGAGCCTCCACCGAAACGACGTCGTCGTCGGCATTCATCACATCAACAGGTAGCCGCTCGTAGTGCCCGATGCTCGTGCCCTCCAATTCGTCAAGTCGAGCGAGTCCTCGGGTCGACACGGAGTAGAGCTCGCCCTTGACCCGGTGACCGGACCCGGGGAGGTTGATCAGGTAGGGGATTCCGTAGGGTCCACAGACGAGCGGGTAAGAATGGCGGGTGATGTAGGGGCCTAACAAAACGGCGTCGTCGTTATTGATAAGGTCCTGCGTTAGCTTGTGGTTGTGGAAGCCTTGTTTGAGTGTCCCGTAGGTGAAGATTAGATGGGGTTTGGCGTCGTCCTTCAAACCTTCAGCCATTGGTGCGCAGAGAGCGGAAAAACTGCCAAATGAATCAATTTATAGGAACGGTTTTTGTTCTATTTTGTTTGTTTTATTAGAATTCAGAATTGTTCGAGCAAGAAAAAGAATTTCAGAGTAAGGCCCAGTTCAAATCCAAAATCACAAAAACCCACCAGACTGGGCCTCCTCGTCTAACTTGTAAGCCCTGGCAAAAGAGATGGTCCAAATCCAACATTATTGAGATTTTTTTTTAATTTTATAGAAAATTTAGATTCAATATTAACTTGGGGTTTTTTTTTTGGGCTTAAATGCAAAAATGGTCTCTGTTTTTTACCACATTTGTCAATGTAGTTCATATGTTTTCAATTTGGCCAATTTGATCCTTGTGTTTAGAATCGTTAGTCAATGTTAGCCATTTCGTTAATTTTCTGTTAGAATAACTCAAAAACTATTTAAATATTAATTATAAAAAAAACATAACTGTTTCAATACAGTTTAAAAATAAAAACATAAGATAAGAACTAAATAAAAAATAAAAAAAGGGAAAGACACCACCATGCAGCTGCCGCCACCCTTCTCTCTTTCTTCTTAACAACCACCCACCACCCGTTTGGCAACCCCATGTCTAATCCACCCCACTTTTAGGGCATGTTTGGTGGACTGGACTGGATTGAATATATCCAATTAAAGTGGATATGATTCCAGTCCATTGTTTGGTGGGCTTAAGTGGATCATGGACTGGTTAGGATTCATTTTTTTTTTTTTCGGGATAACAGTCTAGTATACGTTGGCTTTCAAGACATGGGTTTCGAAGACTAATGTGGAAACCAACTATCGTCTTCTCTTCTCTCGCGTCGTCTTCCTCAGCAAGTTCCGCATCGTGTCCCTCATAATGCTTCGCGTCATTTACCTCAGCCTGCTTTGAAGTGCTTTGCTCTCTTCTGTCCACCCCCCTCTCTCATCTCTCCTTTCTCTTCTTATTTCCTCTCTTCTCTCTTCTGGTTGTTTTATATATAAAAACTGATTTCTCTGTTCTGGATTACTTGGCTCTCTTTGAAAATAAAATATTCAATTTTTTTTGCTAAATATTGAGATGTTTTGATGATGGCTATCCATATTTTTTATGGGTTAGATGTTGAGCGCTGTGGTTTTTTGGGTTTGATTTCTTTTGTTAAAAAGAAGGCCTAACTGGTAATTTGCTCCACAAACTTGTACCTAATTTTCGATTCACCCTATATCCTTTTTTTATATTTTTTTAAAAATAAAAAATTAAGGATATGAACTACTTTTTTTGGCCAATTTCCCCCTACCATCTAAATCATGTACATTTTGTCCAATTTTTGGTTAAATCATTTAAAAAATTATATTTTCGGAAAAAATTGAAGAAAAAGAGTAAACCTAGTGGCAACCCTCCCTCCCCCCCAATCCGAAGAACCCAGTCCTCCTTCCCCATTCTGTCTCCTTCCCTCCTCCTCCTCTTCTTCCCCTCTCCC